TGTCCTGGGGGTGGTTGTTCTAAGGGGGTAATTTTCAGTGGCTAATTGTCCACTGGTTAATTGTCCTGATACGTGTGTGCGTGTGTGTGTGTGTGTGTGTGTGAAGTCGTATGTGTGCGTGTGTGTGTGTGTGTGTGCGTGTGCGCGTGTGTGAGTGTATGAGTTTTGGCGTGTGCGAATGTTTGAGACACCAGCATAATCGGGGTGGGTTTTTTTGCTTTTAAAAATATGAAATAAAAAGTTTGTACCAAGCAGTTTTGTATTTCTTGTTCTCATGAAAATATTTATGTTCAATTTTATTAGCCTATATTTTCCATTGACCTGAAAGCCATTACATTTTATTGTGCAAAAGTTTTCATGCTCTCATAGAAATAAGAGCTTTCCTCTTTTGAAACGCTCGTTTCATTGTCACCCATAACATACAAAACAAGGGACGTGCGCTGGCGCCATGTAGTTTTATATGAATTAGTCACTGCATTAAAAGTGATTGCATTGGCCGACCTTTCTTCTGATAAATCAAATCAAGTGTAATCGAATGATAAACTACAGTGTCAAGTTCTCAGCATGAAACACATACACGCACAATCCCACATACAGATACACTCTCTCAGAATTTGTCGATTAATTATATGAGTGCTTCACTTGGTATTCTTAAGCGTACGTATTCTCATGAGGAAACCCTTATTGTACACAAAATAAGTGGATTTTATAGATTCGGATATTTTTAGGAAATTTCGGCGAATCGCGGATCTGGCGACAGGATTTATTTCGTCCGAGATTAAGGGCTAGGGTTAGGTTAAAGGTTAAGATAGGTTTACAGTTAGATATCACTTTTGGTCTAGGGTTGAAGTTAGGAATTCGGTTAATGCTGGATATTGGAACGGTTTTCCAACAACCGATATATCGGGCATAATGTTATTTCAAGGAGATGAAAGGGAGGTCTTCTTGTTAATATTCAATGAATTTAAATACCAGCGTATTTTTTGTATTGAATTTAATGTTTGATAAAGAAATTCGTTTCGTCATCATAATCTTTAAAAAGTCATGTTCATTGATTAAATATTTCAGCATGTATTTATCTGTTTTTCCAGTCTTTGAATAACACACGGGTCTGTCTACGGTTTCCTTACTTTGACTCTCTCCCAAAATCTCGATTTGAAATTATAGTTTTGTCTAAGTTAAGCCTACATCCCTAACGTGAGTAGTAACGATATGCAGGGAGGATGTATAAAGGTAGGAAGTAATATACATGAACATGATTGTACATTAAAATCTCAATTTTTAAAAAAAAAAAAAAAAATAAGTAAATAATTACAATTATGACTGTCTTCTGGGGCAATGTATTGTTTAGGTTTGGAATATTATCTTGTCGTTTTGAAATTAAGTTCATGTTCAATCTGTTTTCTGAATCAGATACTCAATCGTGCTTACTGTGATAAATGGAACCGGTCTATCAGGTACGTCTATAATATTTCGATTTAATTCTCAGCTTTATTGACTGCTAAATATCGAGCGGTCTTCACCTCTGCTGTTTTAACATAAGGAATCCGTATATTAATAACCTTTTGAATTGAAGTGTTGAACTAAATTGTGCCCAAAAAATATTGCTGAAAATATCTTAAAACAAGCAGAAAGACCGATTTGGCACTTCATGTCCACCCTCGGCGGCCCCCTCCCTCAGTGTTGATAATGACCTGTCAATAGTTGAATTGACCCTTTTTCTGGGGGCGGGGGGGGGGCGGTCGATGACGCCATAAGTGTGAGAAAGAAACATTATAAGTTCATTTCCTGTTCATAAAGTGGGCCCTCTATTGAGAAATCTTAGTGGTGTTGTGGCCATTTGGACGCCATATTGGATTTCGTGGTTTCATGAGCCACTGCTTAACGTTCTAACTTATCCTAATGGATTCTATGACCCCGAAAACCATAGCATAGACACCCCAATTATGTCTCTCGGATGGATAATAAGTGACTTATGGCCATTTTTATGTTGTGGCGGCCATTTTGGACGCCATCTTGGATTTTGGGGTTTCCTAGACCATCATAAAACATTTTTACTTGTCTCAATGGATTCTCTGACCCCCGAAACCATAGAATAGACACCAAAATTATGTCTGTAGGATGGATAATAAATGATTTATGGCCTTTTTTAGGTATCGGCGGCCATCTTGGACGCCATCTTGAAAATAACAGCTTTCTGAACCTTCGATTTTGGTATACTTTTAGTATGTTATTCCTGATGTCAAAACCATGAGTCAAGATGAGGTGAGGGCTGATGAGGCGTCTTTTACCACGGCCTATGCTGTATGCCTGGTCTTCTAGGGAAAGTCTGCTGTGCATGTAGCATGCATATAGCCTGTGGCTGTAACATTCACCTTCGTGGCCAACACTCCAAAATCAGACCAAGATCAACAAATTCTGATACTCTCGAGATCTCCAAAGCATTTTGACTAACAAACTGCACTAAATCTTCAACCCACTTTGGATCTCTCAATAGTAAACTCCTTACAAATTATTCGTACTCCTCTCACTATGAACATGGCGGACAAAGAAAGAGGACAAAATATACAGTTCCTCATTCTACCCTCAAGAATTGCTGAGGTAGACAAAGGAACATCTTTATTTTCAATGTTCTGTATTTGGTTTTGTAGTATTTTCCTCATTTCATCTTTCTTTATTTCCCAATTTCATTTGTCACTTTGCAAACCCAATTTGGGAGGACATTGCCCTCCGACATTATGCCAGGCACTGCCACCCTATATGTGTCAACAAGTGTCAGCTTAATGGCGTAATGGCCCTGGTCACTGCAGTTATCACCAGTGACTCGCCCTAACTTCCCAGAATTCAGTACAGAACTCTCTTTGTTTTATCCTGCCTCCCAATTAGAAGGATGAAAACAACATCTTCTATCTAACTTTCTTTACTAACACACTTCTCATAGTTCTTCGATGAATTAACACGTCAATATGAGAATGTCACCTCTACCATCACAATTTGCTCAATGCATACACAAGGAGCAAATCCTTCTACAATTCTAACTCTCCTTCATTTCATTTGGAGAATTCTCTTCCGTGCCTATCACCTCTTGTATGGCACATCAACTCTTTATCCTGCCCTCTTCAAAGGACTGGCAGTCTTGCAGTGGAACGTCTAAATCAGGAACCGACATGGCTCCTGATTCTCCACTGGGAGCTGCTAGCTTCTTCGCTTCGGTAGCTCTTTTCACACACGAGCTCGATTCACTGTAGCTCGCCTGAACTTTCATCAATGAGTCCATCTCACTGCAACTCTGATGATTTCACTTCAAAGTCCGGCTCATCGATCCAGCATCGAGCGACTCACTGCTCTTCACGATCACCACAAAACCGGCTTTGATGTCTACATTTCAACCTGGGCCTCCGACATCGAGCGACTCACTGCCTCGTCGTCGAGCGCCATCATCTCTTCTCTTTTCTTCTCGCCCGAGCGCTACATTCATCATCATCATGAGCGCCGGCATCGACATCGCGTTCTTCTCGGCTCTTCAGCCACTTCAACGAAGTCGCGCTTCCATCATTTAAGCCTCCGCACAATCATCGCGTGAGCCCCTTTCTTCGTTTCATCCATCATCATCTTCATGGACTTTCGACGTCATTTCTACCATTGTCGTAAGCTCTATTCATTCACTGCATTTATTCATGTCCATCTCATTCATGACCATTTAAACTCCGTGCAATATCCACGATCCTCATTAATGTGATTCTCATTCTGAATCATTTATTTGCTTGCATGACTACACTTTGCAAGTGTTGTGTCTGCAAATCAGTACCCAATAAAATAACGAAAAGGGAATACTTTTTATCATGTATTTTATTGCCAGTGCAACCTTGTTTCCTCGTAGTTAAATTTAAAAGAGAGTTATGTTGTGTGATCAGTGAACACGCCTTTACAATTTCCATTCACAAATCATCTACACACCAATAATTCTTCAGTTAATTCATTTTCCACTGAGTATCATTATCAAGAATTCTACGTCAGAAATTGAAAGAAAAGAAATAAAATAAAAGATGCTGGGATTTTTCTTACATTTGAATAGTTAGCATATTAAGAGTACGAATCATAACGACTAATATCATGATACTGATTGCACAAACACGAATTTGATCATTACATTCTGCAGTGGACCGCGAAGAAAGACGAATTCGAATGAAATAACAAGCGCTGAAAATTGATTACACATCGACCAAATTGAATTATACAGGACTTGTATATGACTTGATTTCTTGCCATTTGGTCGTTCCCGGATTTCAAAGACGAAATTCAAGTGCAAAAGGTTGAATTTGAATGAAGAAAAAAAATGTTTAAATGGACTGGAAATTCGATATCACTTTTAGCAGCTGAAATTCTACAGTACCTTTTCATGTAACAAAAAGTCAGGAATTTGTTGCTGTTACGATCAAAAATTATCGCATTGATCGTTCTAATAATAAAAATTTGATTAAATATTCAGAAAGATATTTTGCAAAGAGTAATGCAAGAAATAACGAAAAAGTTAACCTAACATTGCGCTAATCTCAGTTTGATGAGGATTTTAACTTTTTAGTTATTAAAGGTAATACAAAGTTTTGAGACATTTTGAAAATTGGGTGGATAGTGATTCTTTACAATTTTGATATATTTGGATGCCCCTCTGGATGTATTACAAGCACTAGAAAATTTTGCCCCTAAAACACTTCTGCTTTTGAGAAAAATTGAATATAAAAATTTACCGGTGCTCCCGGTAAATATTGATGAATTTCAAATAGCGCTTACGGCCGTGTAATGGTAGCTGCGATCATCAAAATATCAGAATATCGGAATAGCTAATCGGTCGATTTTAGTCAAGAAACTTTGTTTTATAGCTTCATTAATATCTCGACCTTGAGAGAGAGCTATACAACATACACAGTTTAGTATTTACAATTTCATAACTTTAGACTCGATTTCAACCGCGACAACGATAACTGAATATTGTAGGATCGTATATGCTTCAAATATGATAATTTGAACCAAATCCATGACCCAATACCAAAACTCTGCATTACCTCTTAAATTTAGTACAAATATTTCAACCAAAGAACGAAATGATAAATACATGTATACAGGAACTAATGTAGATGTTTTACAAGCGACGTTGCGAATTTCTATCGGCAGAATTAAGATTGAAATACATGGTTCAACATGTTTCAACTATAAGAAGCCCTAATTTCAAAGCTTATGTCTTGGAATGTTGTAATAGGCTTGGGGTACCACGATATCAGACGGTATTGAATTCACATCACAACAACCTATAAGAAAGAAGGAAAACAAATTGTGAATGTTGCACCTACGAGCATTCAATTTTATAATACTTCATAGAACAATTTCTTGTTTAAAATCAAGAAAGGGAATTCTCCTCTTTTCGTTTTTTTTTTAGCTTAGACCCGAAAACTCCTTTTCATAATTTTGTTGTTGGAAACGTCCCAATAGTGAAACATATTTAAATATTTTTTTTAGGAAATATTAGTCTCTCGATTTTTCAGGAAAAGTTTGGTATAATGATAAAATAATAAGTTAATGCGTATAAATTCCAAGAACTAAATTCCCACTATTGAGGATTTTAAGGCTCAGCTGCGATCCAAAAAAGATTTAGATATATTAAATAGTTAAGAAGAAAATCACCCGCTCTCTACAAATCACACAGTGAAGATTTGATCTTTGTGTTTAGTATATACATTTTAACTCTATGAAATGTTCCTGATTTGTATAATTATGTAATTAGTTTTTATTTTTAAACTCTGTAATTATGTAATTTTATTTTTGTTTAATAAATATAGATTTAGACAAGAAAAAGAACTGATGGTATAGTTTGGTAATGTTAAGATAGATTTGGCTAAAAAGATATAGAAAAAAACCTGCCAGTTCAGGGTTATCTTTATCTGAACATACTATTCTTCTAAACGTATATTCATATTTATGAATCTATAAGCGAGAGGCAGAGGGAAACACAAAGTTAATTTGAGGGGGACACAAAAGAAGAAAAAAGACTCACCACACAATCCCATTGCGAATTCAAGCTCGCTCCGAAGTATGTTCAGGACTTCCTTTACTCCTTCAGCCCCCTGTACATACATATCAAGCACATGATGCACAAGTCACGTTTAAAAACACAAAAGTGAGACAATCATGAATTTTGAACTATAAACGTTATAGAAGTTTATTTCGAGCTAAATCAGGACTAATGAAATCGCAAACATTGTCGTAAAGGCTAAAGATGCAATTGTAATCAAAATCTCACTAGCTTTGTTCCAACATTTCCTGTGTTATCCCAATTGAATGTAATTCTATGCACCCTAATACATAATACATATAAAGACAAAAAAATGCATCGGATAAACAGATCGTTCATTTGCTCCCCAAGTAATCTAGAAAGTGAAATTGTTTCTAAACACATTGAGGCACATTCATTAATAATAATAATAATAATAATAATAATAATAATAATAATACTCAGTTCTTTTATAGCGCATAACACATAAGAGGATAGCATGTCCCTATGCGCTTCAAATAGAAAGGAAATAATTACAAGAAAACTAATTCATACAAATTCGAAAATCCACTTAGAAGTAAAAAAAAAGTACATGTAGTGTTGGACGCTGAGTTCATGGGTGTACACTTTTAACATTGAATGAATACGTTTTAAGAGAAACCATAAACTTGTTTAAATTATTGTGATTTCTCATGGAATCTGGAAGTGAATTCCATAAAACTGAGAAGGCGTGTGTGTAAAAGAACGTTCACCGTATGTTTTTGTTGAGGTGGGAGGGACAATGAATAATGATTTTGAGCTTGATCTTAAAGTACGAGTAGGCCGATACAATGGGGCAAAGTGTTTAAAATTTTGTTTTGTTGTTGCTGTTCTTATTGTTGTATCTTACAAGATATATCAAAATATCTTCTCCCAACTCGTCATTTTCTGCCACCCTTGTACACCTTTGCAGTGTGATTCCACTCGACGAGTTAATGTTCCCCTCCCAGTTAGTTCTTGGTTTCCCTCTTGGTCTGCATCCCTGCCCCCCACTCCGTGAATGGAGGGATATCATGCGTGTTCCCAAACTCTCCGGCTCGTAACAAAAGAAAAAGGTCGACCCGTATTGACTTTACACACCGGACTTTTGCTGAAAGTGGGGGGGGGGGTGCTGAAAAAGGCTCGTATAACAAAAGAAAAAGGTCGACCCGTATTGACTTTACACACAGGACTTTTGCTAAAAAAGGTGGGGGGTCGCTGGGAACACGCATATGCGTATCCTAAATAGCACTGAGTGGGGTGGCGAGGTATGCATGGTATCTTCTACTTTTCCTCCATAGAAATCTTTGTTGTTGTTGTTGTTTTTGTTTTTGTTGTTCTACATTACCTCACAAGCTAGACCCCAGAGGACAGGTCTTCCAACAAATACAGCCTTAGCACCTCTGGCTAAAGCCTTGAGGACATCTGAACCAGTCCGTATTCCTCCGTCCATGTATACCTCAAGGTTTCGATCACGAACTGCTTCCACGACTTCAGCCAGAGCGTCAATCTAAGCGATCAGAATTATCAAGAGAGAGGCATTTTAAGCTCCTAGCACACGGGGCGTAAATTCGATTGCGTTATTGCCTGCGCTAATATCGAGCTTGGGAATACAACTGCCCCCCCCCCCCCCATTCATAGCAACGAGATATTACATTCACCTGTTATATACTATCGCATTCCAATAGTCAGAATACGAATATAGACTGGTTTACTAAAATATTTAGATTATATGCATACCATTTAAACAAAGTTGATCTTTACAACCTGGAACCTAGCCCGAATGTATGCAGATTGGATTCCAAGTATTGTAGTCCTTTCATAATAATTCATGAATAACCGGTTTATGGAATCAGGCGCGGATCCAGGATTTCTTAAGGAAGGGGGCCCAACTTTTCTTTTTTTTTAGGCTCCCGGAAAATTTGAAAATCGCGCCGGCCGAAAAGTCGCTCAGTGGGGGGGGGGGGTGGGGTAAGCGGACATTTTTTTTTTTTCTTTGGAGTCCCAAAAAAAATCGCAACGACTCAGCTAGCCGAAAATTCGCTCAGTGGGGGGGGGGGGGTCCTCGAAAATTTTAAAATTTGCATCCCCCCCCCCCCCCTTGAGCGCCAGGGGGGGAGGGGGCCCAACCCCCCAAAAAGGTAAAAATCGCGTGATTTTGCATGATTTTTTTCTCAAGGGGGGGGGCCTGGGCCCCCGGGACCCCCCCCCCCCCCCCCCTGGATCCGCCGCTGTATGGAATAACTCGTCGCTAGGTCACAAGGAAAGAAACATCCATATATTAGAATATGTTAGTATTAAACCGTTGATAGTCTTGTTCAGACGGAGGCAAATTAACCTGGGGTACATGTCGTGTTAAGAGCTAGTCGTGGTAAATATGGTGAGGTAGGTATAGTGACGATGGTCGTGTTATCTACGCCTACCTTTACCCCGACATATTTACTCTTAGATTTATCCAGGAGTAATTCGCTAACACGACTAGAGGGTAGCGTAAATTAACCGTGTGGATGCTCTCATTTATACACGGGAGTATAATTATGTGACCTTTCATGAGGGTTGTTTGTGACAATCGAAAATTAAAATTAGATTTTGGCACGGTTTAGATGCGGACGGCGGGTTGAGGTCGACTAGTACGGGCGCCACCACTTCCGTTACGCTGGTCGGTGGAAGGTCGTGTTAGCTTAATCGTGGCAAGTTGGTCCGAGTACGAGCGTGTGGACTAATGGTATAAGTGAAATATACATGAGGTATTTACTACTGCAGGGATCAACTTACACCGACTATCTATACCCCTATACCCTGGCTTATAGCACACTATTATAATATATAGCTAACATCACGAAATGTATGCAATTCGCATTCCGATTATTGAAACACAACTATTCTTAACAGGTAAATGAAATAATTTTTATCGAGGAACTTCACAAAGATGTTTGCATTACGAAAATGACCGAAAGAAAGTGTGACGCAATATGCAGCACTCATATGGTCACCTTTCCATTTAGACACAAAGACGGAATTTTCTCTAGAATATCTTCTTTTTGTACAATTACATTATATTTTATTTATTTATTTATATATTTTTATTTTAAAGCTGCAGCCTTTTAGAACCAAACAAGAGAATCTACATAACATCAAAGAAGCCCACCCCTTACCCCACGAGTATTTTAGAATTACTAGAAATGACATGATTTTCCGCGATTATAATCTCACTTTTGCCCGTTATATGCCACCTAGTGGTGATGCAGACTGATTTTTAACCAGCCCCACCCCTCCACCCACGTTTTTGCTCATTACGCCACTGTACAGCAAGGTTGTCTACTTATTATATTCATGTACATTCCAACAAGGGAATCATAAGACACACATGATTTGTATTTCATACAATGCAACAAAAGATGCGCCTCACGTCTTTCTTGCTTTCTATTCTCACTGGTTTATTTTGTCAAAAAATCCAGAAAGCCGATATTCGGACAAAAGATGACATCTCTGATATTGTGCCCATTGTGTAAGCCAATTTACTCTAAAATGTATATTCAGTAACCCTTGCACGGCATGTATTGTACTTCGTTCTTCTAAGAATGGACTTCATACATGTGATATTTGAATATCTCTTGATGGCCTGTGTCATTCACTTTTATTGTTCACCTTTGGCTTATGTTCACAAATGTAAACATACTATATGATTATATTGCAGTGATAACATTGTATTTATAAAGCATATGAAAGACTGTTGTTAAAATCATTATCGATGGCATCGCATTTTCCGGAAAGATCACATATAATTGTTTTAAAGAAAATACTTGGCTTGCACCCATTAATTGAGGATCGCGTGCTCGACCTTCTAATTGAAAACCAGTCGAAAAGTTAAGTCAACAAAGATAATGTGGTATTAGATTTTGAAGAGAGCAAACAAATAAAGTGATGGTTTTTATTTGAAAAAAGAGAGAGAAGAGTCGGAAATAAAAAATAAAAGGATTTTCTGGAGAACTGGAAAAACAAATAAGTATACTACACGCGTACAGTATTGTAATCAGGGAATGCAGATGATAGTGCATGGTTCAATTGCAATTATAATAAAGGGCTACAGCCCGGTTGACCGAAGGCCCGCGAGACCGAAAACCATGTGTGCAGTTATACGACACACAGTACATAATTATGCTTGTGCACACATATTTGGTTTTTGGTTGTCATTTTTGTGATCGTATATTAGCTTGATGCTTATGATCCCTTCACCTCATATTCACAATGTATTATTTCATCGGCCCCTAGGCATTTTCAAGTTTAGAATGCATATCGTAGAATGATTCGGGCTGCTAAATTTGGGGGCAAACTAGGATGAAAAATCCGAAATCTGAAACTAAATTACTCACTTTTCATGTATGATTTAAAAATCACTCATCATTCAGTAGGCCATATTATTTTGATAACAAGTTGATGATTATAATTTCTAAATGTACCCAGTAGAATGTGAACTCCATTAGACCTACTTGTTTGCGCCAGAAAAAAAATCGTGTGCAATAGCTTCGAAGGAAGGCAGAAGCGGATCCACGATGGGGGCCCGACGGGCCCGACCTCCCCCCCCCCCCCCTCGAAAAAAAACAGGTAAAAAACTGAATTGTAACGTAAATTGTACCCTTTTTAAACAAAAAGGTAAAGCCCCCCCCCCCCCCCAATCTTACCGCCAGCTGGCTGATTGGCTGCTAAATATTTTCTCACTAATTTGAACACCCCCTCCCCCTTCCCTCCCCCCCCCCCCCCAAAAAAAAAAAACTTACTGGAGCTGGTACTCCATCAAGCTGCCGTCCTCCGTGGGCCGATACCATGATGGCATCAACACCAGCATCGGCTGCCTGTTTCGCTGCCCTGGCTGCAAAACGAAAGAAATTATAATCATGTAATGCCCCAGTCACCTCAATGAGACAAGCAACAGATCTACTACAAACATTATCGAAATGCCATGATCGGTTATCGAACGGTATGGTTTCGGGAGGTGGAGGTATGACCGAGTTATGATATTGTTTCATGAGTGTGTGTATTGGTGTTTTACAGACGTGTATCAATCAGATATGACTATTTACGTCTGGGGACCGAACTTTAAACGTCACCATCCGAAAGGCGTGACTCAGTTTCGAACCTGCGTCCTCGGCTGAATCATTTTGTAACTTCCATTGTTAGTTTGATTACAGGCGCACGCCACAACGCCTAGCTAGAGACAACATTGAATCGAATTATGGCTTCGATTGGGTTTTTTTTTTTTTTTTTTTTTTTTTCTTTGCCTCATCAGAGGATTTATTGATTATATATACATGGTTACATTCAAAGATACAATACTACAAATCAAATTTACATAATCGCAAAAACATTATTGTCATAACAAAGAATTGAAATTAAGTTTTGCTTTGCAAAGCAATTGAATCTGAATTATCATACAAATTATATTGATAGTTTTGATTCCCTTTCTTTTGTTTTTCTCTTTTCTTTTTTTTTTTTCTTTTTTTTTTTTCTTTTCTTAAATAACACCCAACAGTTCTTTTGGTAAAAGCTTTCTGTTCATATTTAAGTTTGATTTACTTTCCATTCTTTTTATAATTTCTCTAAGGATATTTTGTTTAGAAGCAACTTTTCTCTTGTCTATCCCAGTTATATTTCGTTTAACAACCAATTTATAAATGGTCCAAAATGCTATTGTAAAGAATAATATACAATGACTCTCACAATCTATTTTGAGTAGGTGATGGATATTGAGCGTCAGTATCCTTACTTTGTATATATCTCTTAATATTTCTTTGATATGTTTAATGAACGGCTCAATTAGTTTGCATTCTATAAATGCGTGATTCATATCCTCTTTTATATTACATGTTAGGCATACATCGTCATCGGATATTCCCATTTTGATTTGGTTATAGATCCCTCGATCAGTGGTGTATCCGAAGGAGGGAGGGGGTGTCACTGTAAAGCGCAGAATGGTTCCTTCAGTTGTTAAATGGGGGGGGGGTAATTTTTAACCTGTACATAATGTTAACATGCTATGACGCGCATAGCTTTCAACCCTCCATCTATGAATATCCCCAGTCATTTACAACCGAATTTACTACTATATTACGTCGTATCTGGTTACAGGTAATGTTTCGCTGGATCATCACTTATCTGTTAAATTTCACTTTATAATAATAATAAGAAGAATACTCTCTTTAAAAAAAAGTGTGAATTTCACTCTATTTTCACTTTCTTGGGAGTGACGTCCGTGATCACTTGTTTAGGAGTGAAAATCGATTGATTTTAGAGTGCTCTCTAAGAAGAAAAGAGTGAATGTTCACTCTATTTTCACTACATTTTCACTCTCCAGAGGAGTGACGTCCGTGATCACTCGATTTTTTTTAGAGAGTACATTACATTTATAAAGCACTTAAAGCCCATCTGCACTATAGTTTGGCAAGGAGGGATTAGACCTCACTGACACGTGGTAATTGTCTCCTCAAATAAGCTCTCAATTAACATAAGAAAGGGGATCATAAGGGACTAACGGGTACCGCTTAGGCATTGTTTGCTATCTAGAGGGCGCGAGTAGCTACAAGTAGTGCAGTGGGGCTTTAACACAATGTTTCAAAGCGCTAAATCCGTTCTTGGGATTCATCTGCTTCCACTCACATCAAATTAAAAAGAGGTTAATCTTGTCTTTGATTTAAGTACCTGTAAGGATTCCCTTGCACACTACTGGAAGGGACGTTTCTTCTCTGACCCACCTAACATCATTCCATGTAAGCTTCGAGTTGAGCTGAGATGAAAAATATTTTATTAAATTCAAGTCTCCGTTTTTCTTTGCTTCTATTTGTCCAGGTAGACCTATTTCCAAATTAGGGTATCTGCAATTGAGATTTAAATAAATGTACATGAACGTTATTATCATTATAAAAGCAGAGATTTTGTTGTGCTCTTTTGACTTTATTTTTAAATCATTGAATCTATCGCAATACTGCAAATATAAGTGAGGCCACATTGAAAACCTTTCTCCGGCTTTACTGTCTAGTTGATTTATGCACTGAAGGGCTTTCACACCAGGCTTTGCGTAGAGTTGCGTAGTGTTGCGTACCGACTACGCCAAAGCGTACGCTACACTACGCCGGCCTACGTAACTGTACGCGGAGGGACGCAAATGGGTACGCGAGATGGACGCAACAAATTAAACATGTTTAATTTTTTCGAGTACCTTCGGTGTAGACACTATACACAGAAAGTACGCAATTTGTACGCTATTCTACGCAGCACTACGCTAATGTACGCCAAGCCTACGCAACAGTAAAAGCTTGCTCACACAGTAATCAACCGTACGCAACCGTAAGCAAACCTGTAAGCCAGGCCTACGTAAACTCACGCAACCCTTATGCAGAAGCAACATTTTTAGGTACGGGTTGCCTATGCACAGGGTACGTAACCATACGCCATCGTACGCCAGCATACGCGTAACCTACGCAGGGACTACGCCGAAGCAACATTTTTTTCATGAATGCGCAGCCCAATTTCGCCGTAGTCGGTACGCCACACTGCGCAACTCTACGCAGGTCCGGTGTAAAAGGGGCTTAACCTCGTGTGTATTTATTTGGTCATGTCTTTCACACCAAGTCATCACCAAACATAATAATATAATACGTACGTAAACATCTGATAGTTTTTTTTTTCAAATAAAGTAAAGGCTTTAGAGTAAGAGTATTTATTTCATTAAAGAGTGGTGCAACATTACATGAATCGCATACATAACTATTCAAACATACCAGATATGGCCTGGGATTATGAATTCACTAAAGCAGTGTGTAACGGATAAACATACAACTTAAAGGTTTTACAAGGACAATATATTCAAATGAGATAAAGGTATAAATTAACATTTCAGAAAATTATATAAAAATGAAAGCGATAAACATTTAGATGTTTTTTTTAACAAAGGACTAGTAGAATATGGTATGTAACGTGAAGCATATTGGCATGACATATTTAATGATAAATTATATAATTTTTTTAACAAAAAGATCTTACATAAGCAGTCTGTCGTTACCAAACTTCTCCTGAAATTCGTCTATGTTCCAACCGGTTCCCGGAGAATCCACAGTAACTACGATGGCACTGTACCCAGCCTTTTCGGCCTGCTTGATGAGGCTTCTAGTCAGTTCTCGATCATTGAAGATATACATCTGCATCCAGCGAACCCCGGTTGGTACCGCGGTTGAGACCTCGGCCACGTGTGTGTTTGAAAAGCAGCTCTGAACCATCACTGTGCCAGCAGCCGATGTACCTAATATGCAACATACAGGTCTATATCGGGTAATCAAAGGTGCTTAAGGGAACAGAACAATCATAGAAAAGTGACGAATGGTATTACAGCACAATTTTGTTGTATCCCTCTCGTATGACAAAATGTATCTCTTCGTGTGTTTTTTCCCCTAAATTTCTTCGTACCTTTTGGAGTTGTTATCTCAGCCTTTTGTGTAGGCCTTATACTCTTCTTCTACATGAATCATTAATAAAAAAAAAAAATAATAATAATATTCAATTTTTATATAGCGTTTAATACAAATGTCTCTAAGCGCTTTACAAATATACTTTTACTTAATCTTTGTGTTTTTCTTCTTCTGCTTTTCCGTTTTTCTTTCTGTCTTATATGTTCTTCTTTCTTTCTTCCTCTCTTCCACCGTCTGGTGTTGTTTTTTTCTTTCATGTTTATTCCTTATTTCTTCCTTTCTTTCTTTTGCTCATCCTGTTCTAAGACATACCTTTAGCAGTCCCGATCTCAGCCTCTTTGTAAGCAAAGCGGTGTAACGCAGAGGGTGCCACTCCGATGGGTGAACTGATTGGCGTACCAAGCAAGGTCGTCGAAAGACAAATCGAAGACACATCCGCTAACACGCGAGGACGAAACCTATATCTTCAAGGTTAAGAAGGAATTGAACAATCCAGAAAAAGGATAACAAGTTTCAGAAGGAGTGGGGCAAGCGAAAGAGAAATGACTTTGAAAAAGACAAACCTGTATGATGCCAGCTTAACATTAAAACGATATTTCAGAAGTAGTTTGAGAATGGCGAACGGAAAAGCATGTCAATGAACAAGATCCAAATAACTTTGAAGAAATGAAGTTAGGAGCATTGTGGAAACCCTATTTAATTGCCTATAGAGTCCAATAATTAAACTGTATGAATATATAAATTGTTACGTAAGCTCAATGTACAAAAGGCAAGTACCTCTATCGGTTTTCCAGTTTGTATAATTCGTGAGATTGCATTTGAACTGAGCACATCATTGACTAAGATATTCACTTCGGCTTTTGAACTAAGAATTTCTCCTTAAAATGTGGAAATATGCAGAGATTAAACCTGTGCCAAAGCCTTATTCACCTACAATATGAATGTGTTAAGACCAATTGCATTAACTTTATACTTTGCGAAGATTGCAGAATCGTTTATAGCAAAATGATTGTGGGAGAATATTTCTAACAAAATAGATCGGAATCAATTTGGAAAAAGACGAAACCTGTCTACATGTCACTATTTGATTGGATTTCTACATGCTTTGGTTAGAAATGCTGACATCCTTTAACTAATAGACAATATAAACAAAAATTAGACTGACTTTTCGAAGGTATTTGACCGAATTAATCATAATGTACTTTACACTAATTTATTTTAATTTCATTTTTGACCTAATGTCATCAGTAGTAGACTTCCTACAATCGTCAGCAAACTGAATCAAAGGTCCTAATCTTTGGCCCAATCGATTTTTTTTCGTAATGATTAAAGAGAAGGTTGAGTTCTGGGAAGAGATGAAAAATAATTTGTGAGCATTACTCATTCTTAGTATGCAAGTGTGGAAGAACATCAGATAAGACATGTTCCCTGAAAAGCATGGCTCTTCAAATGCCTTCATATTCTAAATATGCATGTAACATCGTAAAAATCGGGGGGGGCGGCTTTTTACGCCACGTGTTCTTGTAGTCCCATATACATCTTTCTTTATACAGTGTTTGTAAATTTACCAAGACTCGGCCAAATTCCTTATCATTTTGATGATTCCACAACCTTGCAATACACACAAATTCTTATATGCTGGATGATCAACCTTTTCTGGTCGGTTCCACAACGTTTCTTTCACAATGCAATCGCATGACCAGAACTCAACTTCATCTTTAACGATGCCTGTACAGATTCATTTATGTCATATCTCAAATACACAAAATACACAAACATCTCATTTTCAAAGCAAACTTGAATCGCTTGAATCATGGACTCCTCTCAATAATATTAAATTGAATGTATCAATATGTTGTTCGATGTCACTTTTATTTTCTAAGCAACCTGTACAACCACCTCTGTTATATAAATCATCAACCAGTGTGTACATACGGTAAAGTTTGTTGGTTTTACCATTCGAAATGACCTTAAATGAATTGTTCATGTGACTAAAATGATAAAGTAACAGAAGAGTATTCATGCTCCGCAGATTGAAAGCTTATAATCTACCTGATTATTGAGTTTGTACAGTGCGTCCCAGAAAAAAACGAAACCAAGAAGTATCGATGTTCTATCATAACTTAATCACAACTATAATTAATGAATGATACATGTCATTATACAAGTCTGAATTTAAAATACTATAACACTCTAATGTGTACCAAACTCTTTAACGGGGTCTGACAACTTGACAGAAGGCCCACGAGGTCGAAGTGACGAGATCCACTACTTTCAAACAAAATATGCTATTGTACTTGTTTTTTCTTTTTTGTGTTATATTTTTTTATATTTGCACGGTTTGTAAAATGTATAGTTATCTCTGTTATTGACAATTTTAATGAAATGAAATGTGAAAATGAGATTTCCGCTTCGATCTGCTAATTATATGCTTTGCCTCTATATTAAATAAAGTTTTGTGACTACTATTTAATAAACTCTTCAAGATATCTGACATTTGGTAGAAAACCAACGTCTTCCCTTCTTCTTGACCATGATCAACAACTTCTTCGATAATTTGTTATGTACAGCGCTGTGAAACAACAGTTAGTTTGTAAGAGCGCTATAGAAATGACTTTATTGTATTGTATTGTATTTCTTGACTTGATTTTATTTGGCAATTAGTCACACTTGATTGGACAGTTTGGGATAACAAAATCTTGCGATCATGTTCAGCTTTCTAAATAAAAATGGGTTCTTCCAATAATCAGTCCCCTAACAATATTTCATGGGCTAAATTTCTAAATTTCTGCGTGATATTGCATACTAAATAGTGGGTGACGAGATCCATTAATAAACTGTTGTGGAGTTTGTCCTGACTTTTCTGCAATCGACGTCTGAATTGAGGCAAGTAAATCTAGACATGATAAAAAAAAAGTTGCATTCTAATATCGGTATTTTAGCCAAGCAGATGCATTATTTGTTCATTTAGAGCAACCAATATAACCACAAAAAAAAAACATTCTCACTATATATGAAGGGATATATTGCCATTTTTCCTCAAATTCTACTGGGTACATTTTGAAATAATAATCATCAACTCGTCATCACCATGAAATGACCCATTGAATGAGTGGCTTTCTTATCATAAATGAAATGTGAGTACTAGTAATTCATTTTAAGATTTCAGATTTTTCATCCTCCAAGTTTACTAGCCCGAATCATTTCATAAAATGCATTCTAAACCTAAATATGCCTAGGGCCGATAAAATAATATATTGTAATTATTTATAGGTGAAGGGATCATAAGCACCAAGCAATACGATCACAAAAATAACAACCAAAAGCCTCATAATTATGTGTGCACAAGCATAATTAATCGGTCTTCGGTCTCGCGGGCCTTCGGTCAACTTGGCCGTAACCCTTCATTATAATTGCTACTGAACCATGCACTAGCTAAGTTCCATGACACATGCTCCGCCGACGATTGCTCCGCCGACATTTACTCCGCAAAACGCGACAATTGCTCCGCGACATTTGCTCCGCGACAGTTGCTCCGCCGACAGTTGCTCCGCCGACATTTGCTCCGCCGACATTTGCTCCGCCGACAATTGCTGCGCCGACATTTGCTCCGCCGACAATTGCTCCGCCGACAATTGCTCCGCCGACATTTGCTCCGCCGACAATTTCTCCGCCGACAATTGCTCCGGTGACAAATGATCCTCGAACGACAGTTGCTCCGCCGACAATTGCTCCGCCGACAATTGCTCCGCAAAACGCGACAATTGCTCCGGTGACATTTGCTCTGCCGACAATTGCTCCGCCGACAATTGCTCCGCCGACATTTGCTCCGCCGACAATTGCTCCGCCGACAATTGCTCCGCAAAACGCGACAATTGCTCCGGTGACAAATGCTCCTCGAACGACAGTTGCTCCGCCGACAATTGCTCCGCCGACATTTGCTCCGCTAAAAAAGTGCCCCGTAAAATACAAAGGCTACTACGACAATATTATTGTTGCTCCTCCCCAGAAGTACCCCGCAAAAGACAATGCTCCGCCGACAATTAAATTGCTCTCTGATCCAAAAGTGCGGCCTCGTGGAAGACATGAATGCTCCTTTGGCAATTAGTGCAATAAATGCTCAACAGTTTTGTGCTATTCCCCATAATGTTTGATTTAAAAAAAACATCAAGTTTTAGCTCCTTATATATGCAAGTTCTCCGGAGAAAGATAATTACTCCGCTCAAAATCTGTTTCATTTATTACTCATTAGCCGATCCAAAGCTCAAGGTTATCTCTCTCTCTCTCTCTCTTGCTCTTCCTTTTCCTTTTTATACCCTTTTCTTGTCTTCTTAGCTCTTTTCTTTCCTCTCGTGCTATTAGTCTTCTTTCATTTTCATCACTTCTTCTTTTTTTCCCCTCTCGAGTTCTATTTCTCTCGTGAAATTCTAACGTAATGTAGTACATGTAGTACATTCTTGTTTAGAATAGTATTTTCAATAATATCCAGTCCGTTTTCTATAGTATAGGTTTCTTTCCTTCAGTTAAGTGTATGTAGCTTTATATTAGTGTGTAAAACACCCCGCCTCATTCGAGTATTTTGTTTTCACTGACTTTAAGGGGCTCACGGAACCACCGGAAGAAGAGCAATTGGCTTATCGTGAAGAACTGACATCAAACTGCAACAAAATGATTTGTATAAATAGGAATAAGCAGAAAGGCTGCCATCTAATTTTCCCGTCTGAATGGGTTCTCTTCTTTACGTATAAGTGCCCTTCGAAGCTTATTTTGATCCCTCCCCTGTTGCTTTCTAGAACTTCCACGATGACCTAATACATTGTATCAGGGGCGTCGCTAGACCTTTTTCAGTGGGGGGGGGGGGGTTGGGTTGGTGTAGAGGCCAACGATTACCGACAAAACTAGCCACCAATTACCGACAAAATTAAGTGTCTCAATATCTACAAATACCCCTATAAACCCGGGGCCGAAGGCTAAATTGTTTTTCCTATGGACTATAGTACTTGCGTATGCGCAAATGATCAATTTCCTCGACGACACAAATATTATTATTAATTATTTTGTCAACTTAGTCAACATCATAGCTATATATTTTAATGCAGGCGCGGAGCTAGGATCTTATTTTAGGGAGGGGCGGTAGTGAGCAAGCGAAGCGCGCTCGTTAGGGGGTGTCGGTGTTAGGCCTTCCGCGCGAAGCGCGGAAGCTTAGACGTTTCCCTAAATTATTAGGAAAAGAAGACGATTTATTGTACCGTTCTCGACCTGTCTAAATGAAGTTTTCCCCTCCCGCGCGAAGCGCGGAAATTTTGGCGTTTCATCAAAATATAGAGAAAGGAAGACGATTCGTCGTATCGTTGTTGACTCTTAAATCCTTGTTTGAATTTAGTTTCCCTGAAAATATTAAATCTCTGATTTCTTTAGCTGATAATTATAGGAAAGTGAAACTTCGAGAAAATACAAGTATTGT